AGATATGGTGGCTCATGCCTGTAATCCCAGCATTTTGGGAAGCTGAGGCAGGCAGATCACGAGGGCAAGAGATGGAGACCATCCTGGTTAATGTGGTGAAACCTTGTCTCTACTAAAAATACAAAAATCAGCTGGGTATGATGGTGCATGCCTGTAGTCCCAGCTACACGGGAGGCTGAGGCAGGAGAATCGCTTGAACCCAGGAGGCAGAGGTTGCAGTGAGCTGAGATGCACTCCAGCCTGGCGACAGGACAGAGGGAAATTCTTTCATAAGAGGAGTAGTGTATTCAGAAGTTTCTTGAACAGTCTGATTTATAGTAAAAGGTTTTCTATGACCTGGGTTGTGAAGCTTTCTATTCATGCCAGGCCATAGCCTTCCATTTCCTCATGTTAGCACACCAGAGACCTGATGACCTGATTTTCTTTGGAATAGTTTTTCATAAAAGTTTGTTAAATGTACCCAGTCATTTCCTTGTAATGTCAAGACTTAACAAGGTAATACGGAAGTGCTAAAGATAGGTAACAGCCCTCAAACTTGAGCTTCTGTAGGCTATTTGTATAATGTGCTTGTTGTAGGAAAAGATTGGTTTCAGCAGACACTATAAGCCATATATTACTGTGGTGCTTAGCAGGAATCACGTAATTAAATGACAGAAGGTACTACTTACTGTGGATATTTTCTTAAAAACCAGCTTCAGGTTTTTAGTTGGTTCACATGTCCATTCAGGTCTGTTAACCTGATAGGTTGGGCTGAGGAGGAGTGATTTTTATCCAGGTATAATGCACCCATGGTTCAGCTCCCACCTAATAGATGAATGCCTGGTCAGAAGGACCTCGTAGAGTCTTACTGTTTGACGGACTAGTTGGTGATCCAGTCCAGTCTCCCTTCCTCTTTCCCTCCACACTTGGTCTCTAGCCTGGAACAAATGAAATGGCATGTCCATGGGGAAGAAGCAAACTCATAAACAGAAGTCAGTATTTCATTTAGCAATTTTAAATAATGTCTAATAGCTCTTTCCCTTTCTAAGATTTTATAGCCTGATCTTAGCACCAAAGTGGGTAGGAAAGGTCTCTCATACATAATTTCTAAAGGGCTCAACTGGAGCCTGTTTCAGGGAATGACCCAAATCCTCAGCAGGAAAGAAGGTAGTACTTTGTCCCAAGTTACATTAGTTTTCTGGCACATTTTAGCAGCAGTTGTTATTTTATTTATTTTTTTGAGACAAGAGTCTTGTTGTGTCACACAGGCTGGAGTGCAGTAGCATCATCTTTGCTTACTGCAATCTCCACCTCCCATGTTCAAGCAATTCTTGTGCCTCAGCCTCTCAAGCAGCTGGGACTACAGGCACATGCCTCCCCGCCCAGCTACTTTTTTTGTATTTTTAGTAGAGATGGGGTTTTGCCATGTTGGCCAGGCTGGCCTCAAACTCCTGGCCTCAAATAATCTGTTTTGGCCTCCCAAAGTTCTGGGATTACAAGCATGAGCCACCACACCTGGTCTAGTTGTTCTTTAAATAGTTTGATTCAGTGTTTTAGTCTTTCCAGTGGGCTGTGTCTGTGCTGCATGAAGTTTCCATTCAGTGTCTAGGATTTGAGACACTTCCTGTACTACCTGAGAGACGAACACCACAGCATTGTCACTCTGACTCATCAAAGGGAGTTCATACTGGGGAATTATCTCTTTAGTAAGGTGTGGGTCACTTCGGCTGCCCTTTCTGTTCAGATAGAGTATGCCTCTACCCATCCTGTAAATGTGTCTACGAAAATCCAAAAAGATGGTTTTTGTACAAAAAGATGCCTGGTAGCCTCCAGGTGCCTGTAGCATTATGGTGAAATTAACTTGTCAGTTCTTGCATGAAGAGTCTCCTCAACGTTGTACTCTCAAACAGGGGCAGGGTCCAGTTTTAGTGCATGAAGCATGCACTGATGGATCACATTTTGGACGACTCGTTGCATGTCTCGGCCAATCAAGTACTCATATAGCCATTGAAGGGTTGCATCTCTTCTGTAATAGATGCTTTGATGGAACTGGCTCACTATATCTTTAAGGAGGGCACTGGGAACCAATATGATGTATTCTGGATTACATTTCCAGCTGGATGGGCTGGGGATATGAATCCTCATTCCTTGGCTCACTTTAAATCTCCTTTGGCAAGGTTGGAACTTGGTCAGATCGACATGAGGTATTAGTGGGGTTAAGAAAGCCTCCAAGTCCAATATTTCTGTGACTTTCTTGGCTGGCAGGTTGGCAGTTTGATTTCCTTTGACTATTTGGGTGTCTCCTTTTTGAATGGCTGGGACAATGGATGATAGCCACTACTGGAGGGGGGATTTACAGATTCTTTTTTAAAAATTTGAGATGGAATCTTGCTCTGTTGCCCAGGCTAGAGTGCAGTGGTGCGATTTCAGCTAACTGCAACCTCTGCCTCCGGGGTTCAAGCAATTCTCCTGCCTCAGCCTCCTGAGTAGCTGGGACTACAGACATGCACCACCATGCCTGGCTAATTTTTGTATTTTTTAGTAGAGATGAGGCTTCACCATGTAAGCCAGGCTGGTCTTGAACTTCTGACCTCAGGTAATCTACATGCCTTGGCCTCCCAAAATGCTGGGATTACAGGCATGAGCCACCATGCCTGGCCTTTTACAGATTCTAATAAGGCCAAAATATCAGAAACATATTTGATTTCTTTATTTTTGCTAGTCAAAAGACCTCTGTCTACATAGCTCCATGGGCATGTGCCAGCAAGAAAACATATTGGGAGTCTATATAAATATTCATACTTTTTTTTTTACCCAATTGGAGGGCACACATAAGGGCACCTTGGCCCACTGAGCTGAAGTGCCTAGCAATAAGTCTTCGGCTTCCTTAATTCCTTGTAAGGTATGACCTCAAATCCAGCATGATGATGCCCATGGTCCATGAAGCTGCTTCCATTTGTGAACAGTCCTAGTTTGGAGAGCAGCAGGGGCTGATCTGCCACGTCTGCTTGCCTGGGAAAGATCAACTCAATAACTGGAAGACAACTGTATATGGGGCCTGGCTCCTTCTTTGGAGATATTAAGGTAGCAGGGTTAAGAACCAAGAATGCCTTTAACTTCACCTCTGGATTCTCAAGGTGGGTGGATGACTTGGTGTTTTCCCAACTTCTCAGAGGTCAGCCAACATCCACCTTTTTGCTCTAAGAGAGGGAAGGTGTGATGCAGGGTGTGCACAGTGATGAGCTGAACTAGAGTTAGCTTTTCAGCCTCCTGGAAAAGAGTGCAAGTTGCAGCTACTGCTCGGAGGCAGGGGGACCAACCCCTGGCCACCTGGTAAAACTGTTTAGAGAAATGGGCAGTCGGTTTTCAGTCAGTTCCCAAGTTTTGAGTTAGGACCCCCAAGCCCATGCCTTGTTTTTTGTGCAAAAATAAATCAAAGGGCTTTCATAAATCTGGAAGGTCCAGCACAGAGGAAGTCTTTAACTTTTCTTTGACTTTATTTTGTCATTTATTTTGAGATGGAGTTTCGTTCTTGTCATGCAGGCTGGAGCGCAGTGCAATCTCAGCTCACTGCAACCTCTGACTCCTGATTTCTCCAGCCTAGGCCTCCCAAGAGCTTGGATTATAGGCGCTCACCACCATGCCCGGATAATTTTTGTGTTTTTTAGTAGAGACAGGGTTTTGCCATGTTGGCCAGGTTGGTCTCGAACTCCTGACCTCAGGTGATCCAAGAGCCTTGGCCTCCCAAAGTGCTCGGATTACAGGCATGAGCCACTGCACCTGGCCTTTTTGACTTTATTAAAAGAATTTTGGCATTCTGAAGTACAGATCAGGGGCTCAGATTTTTTTCCTTTTAGGGCCTCATAAAGGGGTTTTACCATAAGTCCAAAATTCGGAATCCTAATTCAACAGAATCCCACCATTCCTAGACACTGCTGCAGTTGTTTACAGGAGATGAGGAGAGCTACCCAGGCAATTGCCTCTAGGTGGCCTGGGGGAAGGTTTCCGTGCCTCTTAGTTCAGACCCTACGTATTTTACTGTCTTTCAGCATATCTGGCCTGTTTCCACCAGGAAAATCAGTGCTTGAATGGTATTTTCAAGGAAAGCTCTGAAGGTCTTGCAACAAGGATTTCATACACACATTGTTAAAGCATTCCTTCTGTCAGCCGAAGTCCCCTTAAGTTCCATGCCAAAAATTTCCCAAAGATTGTTGGGAATTCTCATTTTATTTATTTATTTAATTTATTCATTTATTATACTTTAAGATCTGGGCACACGTGCAGTTTGTGCAGGTTTGTTACATAGATATACATGTGCCATGGCGGTGGTTTGCTGCATCCATCGCCCCGTCATCTACATTAGGTATTTCTCCTAATGCTATTCCTCCCCTAGCCCCCTACCCTCCCAGGCCCCAGTGTGTGATGTTCCTCTCCCTGTGTCTGTGTGTTCTCATTGTTCAGGACCCACTTACGAGTGAGAACATGCGGTGTTTAGTTTTCTGTTCTTGAGTCAGTTTGCTGTGAATGATGGTTTCCAGTTTCATGCATGTCCCTGAAAAGGACATGAACTCATTTTTTATGGCTGCATAGTATTCCGTGGTGTATATGTGAAAATGTGGGGGAATTTTTAAGTCCTTGAGAAAACACTGACAGTACTGCTGATTGACTTGTGTTCCAGCCACAGCCATTCAAATGCAAAGATCTCTTGTGATTCCTTGCCTAATGCAAAAGAGGGCATCTTTTTAATCCAAATCTGTAAACCAACATAGTTCTCCTGATAAGGTGATCAGCAAGCTACAGCGGTTAGGTACCATGGGTTATATGTACTAGACTATTTCATTACTAGCCCTAAGTCTTGTACAAACTGGTAGTCGTCTTAATGGGACTTGCATGGTGGTAAAACAGGAATGTTAAATGTAGGATTATAGGACCAAATCAGTCCTTGTGCCAAAAAAGGCTTCCAAGAGTGGTTGAGTCTCCTTCTATGCCACTTCCTTTAATGGATACTCTGTATCTCTCTTTTCATTTAATTGCTATGGGTCTGTCTGTGACCACTCTCCCTGGCTTCCCCTGGCCCAAACATCTCTCCTTACCTGCATGAGAATTTCTTCTGGAATGTCCTGAACCTCTTCGTTTTCTGGTTGGAGCAGGAATATTTGAAACCTGCAAACTTACTCAGAAGGAATCATTATATCTAGGCATCTAGGGGGAAAGACAAGTTGAGCACACAATTTGGCAAGCAAATCCCAGCCCAGGAGGGGCACTGGGCATTAAGCATGTATAAGAAACTATGCTCTAAGCTGGTCTCTCCTAAATGGTAACCTAAGGATTGTATAAAGTGGTAATGGTATCTCCCAGTATTCCTGTAACAGTAATGGTTTTTCCCAAAGTTGGAGAGAGACAATTGTTAATTACTTAATATGTGGCACTGTGTCAACTAAAAAGTCCATCATTCTGTTCCCCACTGTCAGTTGTATCCAGGGCTCCTGTGGGGATATAGCCACCAGTTGCTCCAAATCTAAGGGACTCCCTGTGATACATCAGTCTTCATCTAAATATTCTTTTCTCTCCTCATCTGATTTTCAGGGAGACTGCACTTGCCAGCTGCTTTGGTCAACTTGGGACAGTCCTTTTTGCCATGTCTCTCCTTCTTACAATAGGTACATTTTTTTTCATAAGGGGGCATGGACCCCTCTTAACTTTGATTTCTTCCTTTTCCTTTAGGTTGGTAGTCAAGTGCAGCTAACAGCAAGTTACTTGTTGCTTCAATTTGCACTTTTCCTGAGCCTCGTCCTGAGCATAGTATACTTTAAAAGCTAACTCCACTAAATATGAGATTGGCAACCCAAGGATCTCACTTACTATTTGCAGTTTTCTTTGAATATCAGGGCTTCTGGCTGATTAAGGTCACATTGACCATTCTCTGATTGTCGGGTGCCTCAGGGTTAGTGTCAATCTACTTTTCATTATGTCTGATGACATCTTTCTATGAATTATGAAGAGTCCTCATATGCTTGCTGCTGTACTTCCTGTACCTTATTGAGGTTCTTTACCTGAGGAACCCCTTTCTTTAAACCTTCAATAATGTAATTCAGATAGTGTCCTAAGTGGGAAAGACCCCATCATTTACATCCCAGTTGGGCTCTGTGTTGGGGACCGACCCTTTGCAAGGGGCAATTGTTTCCCGCCTCCAGACAGAGCCGGTTTGCCTCTTCCCTAGCCTTTTCTGTGACTACATGCCTTTCTTCTGACGTGAGCAGCACTTTAACAAAGTGAATATCTGCCTTGTGGGGTTGATAGGTCAGAAATATAGACAAGAAGAGCTCAGCCATTCGCTTACATTGGGATAGGGGGGATTACTGTTTTTCCAACTGAACAGATCCAAAGTGGGAAAAGGAAATGTACCCACATCATGCCAACCTGTTGTCCATTCACGTTTAGTCCCCTAGTAGGGAACTGATGCAAAGGAAACTGCCCTACCAAGGGGCCAGTGGCTCCCTGGCCAAATTGGGTTTTCTGTTCATTGCAGGAAGGGGAGACCACAGCCTACCCTAATTCCATGGGGGGGACAGGTTTGGGAGTGTTCCCCTCCTACTCCAGACAATCCCATAAGGAGGGGGTGGTGCTGGAGCTACAGCTGACTGGGGAAGGGGCAGAGGATCACGATGATTATTCAGGGGATTCAAAGCACCAAGCAGTGTCCTGTCTTCCCCATCTAATGATGGGGAGTCTAAAACATTAGGTTTGGATTGTTTTTTCTTTTGCAGCATCAAATTATACCTCTTTTGAGTAGGTTCATTCTGATATAAGAGCATGGAAGCCTGGACATACAGGATTGCATCCTATTTTTTCTTTTTCTTTTTTTTTAACTTTTGTTCCAAGAACTGTATTTTTTCTTGTCTTACAGAATGTTTCCAGTTGCATTATACTAGAATAACTTAAAGAACTGTTTGTCAGCCATTTTTCCCAAATTCTAAGACATATTCTGGTCAAGTAGCATTATAATAAAAAAGCAGTTTATTTTTCTTCATGGGCTCATAGCTGAAAGTGGCCCAATCCTGGAGAATGCAGCCAAGGATGCTACTCTCTGTGATCAATTCCAAATTTGCCATTTTGTCTTTTCACATACACACCTATACATACAGACACACACAGACACACACACACACACACACCACCACCACCCCAAAAAAACAAAACAATAAAGCCCAAAAAATCACAAACAAAAAAACCAAACTTTTACAAGAAACAAGCAAATGGGTATAATCCACCATTCTATTACTCCCCAGAAGGCCCTCTTCACATTACAAGCAGAGAGAGTGAGAGATATGGCTGTGTACACCGCAGCGACTTACCCTTCAAACCAAAACTGGAAGTCCAGATAGCAGTCTGAGATGTTTCTCTGCTGTAAGCTTCTAGAGCACCAACGGCAGCTGACACTGACCTAGAAGAGCTACTTTAGGGCCCCCCAACAAACAAGCCTGGGCAGCTTCTGGCACTTGTTTGCCTGACCTGGCTGGGCCTACTGCCATGTTGTCAGAATCTGTTGCAGAACCCCAAAACTTACGTCAGGTACCTGATGCACAGTAAGCCAAATACTGACATATGAGTGCTTCAGAGCAGAGAAAGGTTTATTCAAATTGTCCAAAGCATGAGGGTGGGAGAGGCAAATTCTCAAATTCAACCTCCCTTTGCACATAACTGGTGGCTTTTATGAGTAAGGAAGGTGTGTGGGAAGTGAGATCTCCTGATTATCAAAGCTGCTTGCATCCCTTGGCCAAACTTCTGCATGCCATCAAGGAGGTCAGCATGACCAAGGATCATTGTTCTTTATAAGAAAAACAAGCTCATTAATCTTGCAAGCATCCCCTGGGGGTTAGGATATGAAGTTAATCACTTATTAGTGACTACCCACTACCAAAATGACTATGTGCAAGCAATCCTGCCTGGAGGAAGTTAAGGACAAAGAGAAAGGAAAGTAAAACAAACGTGGTTTTTATAACATAGGATTCGTTACATTGCTATATTTCATCTAAGTGATGGCTATAAAGTTTTCTCTGCTTGCCACATTTAACAGAGATACAAAAGACTAGATATAAAACCCTTTCTTGCTAAAAGGTTGGTCTTGAAGAGTATATCACAAAGGCTCATCATGAATACATCATGAAGGCTCACTTGGGAAGAAATTGGAGGAAGACAACTAGTGAGGCAAAGAGAACAAGAAGGGCATGTATGGAAATTCAGCTAGTCTGTTTTAAAGAGCCTCAGGGCAGGCAACTTCTGAGGACACTGTCAGCAGAAGTGCCATCATATAAACGTTATACCTTCACCAAAGTTTCCTGACCCTATTTCCCTTCTGTGTCCACCTCATTTCAGTTAACATGGCTCATTAAAAAAAATACAAACCGTCACCATTTGATGTTTCCTGTCTCATTTATTTAACACACACTTGTTCTGTGTCTGGCTAAGAGGACCTTGTTTAAAAGGGGGTTTAGACCAGGCACGGTGGCTTACACCTGTAATCCCAGCACTGTGGGAGCTTGAGATCACTTGAGCTCTGGAGTTCAAGACGGGCCTCGCCAATATGGTGAAACCCCATCTCTACTAAAATTACAAAAATTAGCAGGATGTGGTGGTGCACGCCTATAATCCCAGCTACTCAGGAGGATGAGGCAGGAGAATGGCTAGAACCTGGGAGGTGGAGTTTGTGGTGAGCCAAGATTGCCCAATGCACTTCAGCCTGGGCCACAGAGCGAGACTCTGTCTTAAAAAAATAAATATTAAAAAACAATTTAAAAAATAAGGTCTTTAGTGGTCTGTTTAGGTTTTAAAATTCTTACATTATTCACACATGAGTTGTTTACAATCCACATAGCTCCACTGAGATTATCATGAAAAAGGCCAGTCCTCCTCCTCACTCCTGATTATCATCTCCCAAAGGCAGCCACTTCAAGTATTTTTACATTATTTATTTATATTTGCCTCCATATTTAAATAATGTGCTTATATTGCCACTTCTTCATTTTTCTATTTGTGTTATTATCTGTTAATTTCCTCCTATGTAGATAAGAATTTAGCTCTTTCATAACATCTACCCTCACCACACCACAGTTGTGTCTCAACCTTTGGTTAAGTCGGTGCTCTCAGTTCATGTTCTTTACTAAATATTCATCATAGCCATAGTGTACCATGACCGTTTCTCAGACCACTTTTCCCCCATAATTTTAACCTCATTTGTTTTCCTGTTTTCCTATGAATTGATCATGAATTTATCCCCCAAATCTCTGATAGCATTATTTAACCTTGTATATACATCAAATTTTTTTTTCTTAATCTTTCCTGGTTCCCCTGTTCCAGGTTGAGTGCTGTATCCATTTCCTAGGGCTGCCATAGCAAAGCACCACAGACTGGGTGGCTTAAATAAGAGAAATTGATTTTCTCACAGTTCTGGAGACATCCAAGATCAAGGTGTCCGCAGGGTTGCTTTCTTCTGAGGCCTCTCTTCTTGTCTTATATAGATGGCCGTCTTCCTGTGGCTTCTGGTTTCACATGGTCTTCCCTTTGTGTCTCTCTGTATCCAAATTTCCTTTCCTTAAAAGGACGCTAGTTAGAATGGGACATCAATTTAAAAGAAAAGAAAAAGGATGCTAGTCATATTGTATTGAGGCCCACCCTAATGACTTCATTTTTACCTATTTACCTCTTTAAAGGCCCTGTTTCCAGGTATAGTTACACACCGAGACACTGTGGTTAAAACTTTAACATGACTTTTGGAGTGACACAACTCAGCCCAGAACAGGCACTTTGGTTATTCTGGTTGTTGTTGTTGTTTTTTTTTTAAAGACAAGGTCTCACTCTGTTTCCCAGGCTGGAATGCAGTGGTGTGATCTTGACTCATTGCAGCCTCTTACTCCTGGGTTCTAGTGATCCTCCCACCTCAGCCTCCCGAGTAGCTAGGATTACAGGAAGGTACCACCATGCCCAGCTAATTTTTGTATTTTTAGTAGAGAGTGGGTTTCACCATGTTGGCGAGGNAGACAAGGTCTCGCTCCGTTTCCCAGGCTGGAGTGCAGTGGTGTGATCATGGCTCAATACAGCCTCCTACTCCTGGGTTCTAGTGATCCTCCCACCTCAGCCTCCTGAGTAGCTAGGATTATAGGCACATGCCACCACACCCAGCTAATTTTTCTATTTTTAGTAAAGAGTGGGTTTCACCATGTTGGACAGTCTGATCTCAAATTCCTGACCTCAAGTGGTCCACCCGCTTTGGCTTCCCAATGTGCTGGGATTACAGGCATGGGCCACCACACCTTGGTTATTCTCTACACCTTGGGCATAGCTCCTGCCCTGGAATTTCTCTTTACCTTCACCCTGATCATTTCTTACATTCCTCTCCTGTCTTCTGGATCCCATAGATGCTTTTTGGTTTACTTCCTTGTTTGGTGGAATATATCCTTCAGCTTCCCAAGGAAGGTCATTGGGATATAAACTTTTCAAGACCTTTGCCTGAGTGAAATGGGTTTATTTTACTCTTTCACTGCTTTGATAGTTTGATCATAGAGTCATAGGTAAGCAGTTTTAAATGCATTTATTCAATTGTTCTAGATTTCATTGCTGTTGAAATCCTGTGCTATCCTGACTGCAAAGCTTTTACTTGTGACCTGTAATTTTCCTCTCTGGCAGCTGTAGGATCTTTATCTCAGGTGTTCTGAAATTTCATGTTGTACAGTGGTGCAATCTTGGCTCACTGCAACCTCTATCTCCCAGGCTCAAGCAATTTTCCTGCCTCAGCCTCTCAAGCAGCTGGGACTACAGGCACACACCTTCATGCCTAATTTTTGTATTTTTGCTAGAGACAGGGTTTCACTATGTTGTCTAGGCTGGTCTCAAACTCCTGACCTCAAGTGATCAGTCTGTCTCAGCCAAAGTGCTGAGATCACAGGCATGAGCCACCATTCCTAGCCAGTGTGAATGCTTTTTTTTTTTTTTTTTTTTTGAGACGGAGTTTCACTCATGTTACCCAGGTTGGAGCGCGATCTCGGCTCACCGCAACTTCTGCCTCCTGGGTTCAGGCAATTCTCCTGCCTCAGCCTCCTGAGTAGCTGGGATTACAGGCACACACCACCATGCCCAGCTAATTTTTTGTACTTTTAGTAGAGACGGGGTTTCACCATGTTGACCAGGATGGTCTCGATCTCTTTGACCTCGTGATCCACCCGTCTCGGCCTCCCAAAGTGCTGGGATTACAGGCTTGAGCCACCGCGCCCGGCCGTGAATGCTTTTTAACTCATAATGCTACATACTTACTTAGTGAGCTCTTTCAATCTGGCAGCTTATGTGCATCAGTTCTAGAATATTTTGATTTTATCACATTTTTTTTGAGGGGAGAAGTTATATCAGTTGAATGTGGGATTTTCTGAAATATACCTCTAATTTTATTTTTTTCTTGTTTTCCATTTTTAATGTTTTACCTTTTTAAAAAAATTAGGATTTTTTTCAGCTTTATTTTCTACCTTTCTGTTGGCTATCTAAATTTTCTGCTATATATTTTTATCTGCCCTATGATTTCAATTTCCAAGAGCTAGCTCATTTTTGGGGGGGTAAAATGCTATTAGAAAAATTAATTCATTACGTTAAACTCTCTAATGTCAATTAGTTTTAAATTTCCCTGATTCAACTGTTTTCTTTTTTCTTTCTTCTCCTTCTCCTGTGTGTTTATACCTCTGTCTCTGCTGTTGGATGTGTTCTTGCAATACCTGATGACCAAGTTTACTACTCATCTGTCCACACTTAACACTGAGGCACTAAAAGTTGATGATGGACGCTCTAGTCTTGTCATGCTGGAGTTGTAATAGGTGGTTAGTCAGCTTGGCTTTTGTTTACTTTCCTCCTGCTGCACACATTTAAGTTTTATTTTTCTCCATTCTGACGGTTACCATCATTGAAATTTTAATTTTTATCTACCACAAACACTTCTACTATGGAAAGGAGGCACTTTCCAATATCCTGTCTGAACCTCCTTTCCGATGTAATGCTAGCAACTGCCCTAGAATTACATTCTGAAAACAAGCTGATTTGTGTTTTTTCTTCTTGGAAATCTTGAAGAGCTTCCCATCTTTAGAACACATTTTCAGCTCCTTGTCAAGGATTTCTGTGATCTGACTCCAAGCTGACTTTACAAAGCCCTGTATTGTATTTCACTCTGAATCTCAGGATGCCAGCCACTTCCTGAGTGCGCTGTATTATATGTGCTATGGCACCGTGTCCTTTGTCTTTCGGATTGTTCTCTTGGCTGTAATTTCTCTCCTGTGGTCTCTGTGAGCCCATCATTCACATTCTTAAGCTCATATCCTCAGTAAAGCCTTCTCTCCTACCCTACATTATCATGAACACCCTGCCCTTCCTCTCTTGGCAAGGTACCTTATGTATTTATTTACCATTTGTTTCATTTATCTCATTCTTTATGAAACACCAATTCTGGAGCACTGTCTCAGATTCCATCAATCCCATCAACCCCTCGAGCTTCTGCTGGCATGATCACAAACACCCTGCCCTTCCAGATGGATGATTCCTCTCTCAGCAACTTATCTTGTGTCATTATTTAGCATTTGTTTCATTTATATCTCACCCTTTATGAAACACCAATTCTGGAGCACTGTCTCAGATTCCATCAATCCCATCAACCCCTCGAGCTTCTAGCTGGCAGGTGAGGTGAGACCCAGAAGTATGGAGGAGTCAGCTCCCTCTGGAGGGCCTTGATGAATGAAATGCAGAGGACAGGAGGGAGCCTGGTAGGCAAACACCCCTCCTGTCTCCCCACTGTAGACTCCTCTCAGCCATGGTTTTGCCTTGCATGTCTTCCAGAGAAGATGCACAGGTTGTTTGGCAAATGTGTTTGGCTAAGTAAATGCACTTGCCAAACAACCCGGGTGTCTTCCTGGCTCCACACTGTAAAGCTTGTGGCAAAGTAACGCATCACATCACATTGCTATTCTTCATTCCTTGCTTCACTTACCTTTTTCCCTGCCCTCACCTCTCTGTTCTTACATATCCCATATAAAATACCAATGCTTTAATCCTTGCCTTGTGCTCTGCTTTCTAGAGGACCTAGGCTAAGACATCCAGGTATTTGTTTAAAAATCTAGCAGTCATGCGCTTTTAATTATTCATCCATGTGTATGACAACTGGAAGAACTAGATCTCCCACTGATTTGACATTGAAGTCCTACAAATAATTACACCTTTTAAGAACATAGAAATGTCAGTTACATCCAACATAACAATTGATCAAGAATTACAAGTTTCATTTTCAAGGTTATTTTCACAAGACATGGGAATCGTGTTTGGAGCCTGCGTATCCTACCTGACCCATTTGTTCAGATAACACTTCCAAGGTTAGGTTCCTTTTAACTCATGGTAATAGTTATGCATATTTATGCAAGTCTACATATTGTAGAGAAGAATAAAGATGATATCCTTTTGAAAGCTCTCATTTCATGCCTTATAAAATTAGATCTTTTGAACTAATTTTAT